ATGTAACGCAAGTAGTCAACAACCAGCAGAAAGTACCGCTCGCGGCCCTGTCCCTCGATGCGAGCTGGGCCCCACACGTCCATGTGGAGCGTCTGCAGGGGAGCAGTCGTCGGGGGAAACGAGGAGTGAGGAGCGGCGCGCTGCCGCCCCTCGACGCAAGGAAGGCAGGGCGGGGCAGGCGAGCGCGGGAGGGGGGGCAGAGACCTGGGAAGGCTAAAGACAAGGAGGCGGGAGTGCATGCTACGGAGGTGTGGCAGGGAGGGGTGACCAAGATGGTGGTGCCAGAGGAGAGTCTGGTGTGAGAGGTGGCGACACGAACAGGGAGCTGCTACCAGACCTGACTAGGCCTAGACTAGCAGCCGCTATACCATGGTCAGGGGGCACACACAAGTAATAGTCACCTTCAATACTACCAGTCAGAGCATACATGGCAGTAAGGATAGCGTCATAGTCTAGAGAAAATATATCTACAATGTCTTGAAGCAGCTCTAGCCAGAGGGGTAGCTCAGCCTCGTCGCCGAACTGTGCTCGCCAAGCGTCGCTCAGACGGGAGAAGCAGCGGGACTGTGTGTGACTAACTGTCCCGCAGGTCTGACCATCCCGATCACCAGTGCGAATGACGTACGGGCAGCGAGCAGTACTCCTACACCCCCGACTCTGAGCGTACCACTCACGCAGCTGCCGGGGCATAAGGGTCTCGCGTGGCCACCGCCAGAAACTCCGCACTGAACAGCTCCACCGCGACTGCCACGACGGCTGCCGCCAGCACACCACCTGACGTACCACTCACGAAGCTGCTGGGGCGTAAGGGTCTCACGCGGACACCGCTGCAGCTGCATCTGGCCACCACCAGAAACTCCCCACCGAACAGCCACAGCGACTGCTGCTTCGGCCGCCACCACTCCCACTGCTGCCACCACCGCCGTCACCACTCCCACCGCTACTACGAAGTGAAGTCATAGCGGGCAAGCAAGGAGGCGCGCGACCAGTAGGGCAGTACGGAGGGAAGGCAGTAGCATGAGCAGCAGCAGCGGCAGCAGTAAGAGCAGCAGAGCGGCTCGGTGAGGCTAGGCTGCAGCACCTCCAGCACTCCTAGCAGCACCTCCACCAGCAAGAGCAGTAGCACGAGCAGCACGGCAGATCGGGTTGGGCAGGGCGGCTCGGGCTGGGCGGCGCAGCTCGGCCTGGGTGGCGCGGGCAGCGCGCTGTGCAGGGCAGCAAGACGCGACACGCAGGCTGCAGCAGGGCGCGACGTGCGGGCTGCAGCAGGGCATGACGCGCGGGGCAACAGGGTCTCGACGCGCGGGCTGCAGCAGAGCGTGACGCGCGGGGCAAAAGAGCGCGACGCGCGGGCTGCCGTAGGGCGCAACGCGCAGGGCAGTAGGGCGCGACGTGCAGGCTGCAGCAGGGCGCGACGCGCGGAGCAGTAGAGCGCGACGCACGGGCTGCAGCAGGGCGTGATGCGCAGGGCAGCAGGGTGCGGGCTGCAGCAGGATGCAGGGCTGGGCAGGGCATGCGCGGGGCAGCGCGGCTAGGGGCAGGGCAGGGCGTGCGCGAGACAGCGCGACGCGGGGCAGGGCAGGCCGTGCGCGGGGCAGCGCGACGTGGGGCAGGGTAGGGCGTGCGTAGGGCACCGCGACGCATTGTAGGGCAGAGTGTCCGCGGGGCAGCGCAACGCGGGGCAGGGCAGGGCGTGCGCGGGGCAGCGCGACGCAGGGCAGGTCAGGGCGTGCAGGAGGCAGCGCGACGCGGGGCAGGGCGTAGACGGACAGTGTGACGCAAGGCAGGGCAGGGCACGCACGGATGGCGCAGCGCAGGGTATGGCGTGGGGTAACGCGGTAACCGTAGTCGGTCACTAGGTAACGGTGGCCCCGGAAAAAAAAAAAAAAAAAGAAAGAGAGAGAGAGAGAGAGAGAGAGAGAGAGAGAGAGAGAGAGAGAGAGAGAGAGAGAGAGAGAGAGAGAGAGAGAGAGAGAGAGAGAGAGAGAGAGAGAACAGTCCTACGGACCTATTGCTTCGAAACCATGTCAGAAACTAACGAGCAGGAATGATTGCATTGAGCAGAATGTGGGTACAAGTGCAAACCCTAAACTGGGTTGTACCCTATATGGGCTACCCAACTACAGCCTACACAACACAAACCGGATAATAGTTTGACACACGCTGCCTGCACGCCGCTCGCACACTGCTTGCGCTGCCCGCGCGCTGCCCGCACGCCGCCCGCGCCGCCAGCATATGCTCGCTGCCGGCCCGCCGTCAGCTGCCCTGCGCGCTGCATTGTCCGCTCTGCCCTGCGCTGGCTGCGAGCGCTCTGCCTGAGCCGCCCGCGCATTGCCATGCCCCAGCTCCCCTGCCCTGGCCTACTTGCGCTGTCAAGCCGCCAGCTCGCGCCACTGCTGCATTGCTAGCACCGCTAGCTCACTCAATTCTAGATTCTATCATTCCATTCCATACCCCCATGTTTTTTATAACCACTCTAATATCGTCCTTAAAAGTATTCACGATAATACTTCCCTCTGTTATATTTTATTATGGATCATTCATTGCATTCTGCACTTCCAATCACACTTTTGCCTTTCGTTTTATCCCTTCATTCCCATTTATGATTCGCCATCGCACCTCTTTCTTAATTTTTATAAAGAGTTGTCTTATTTTCACATGTTGCTTCTTTTCTAACTCTATCACTTTCAATTGTCAGTCTTCTATCATGTCTTTGTGATATTCATTTCCCGTCGCAAACTTCATATTGCATTCATAAATCCCATTTTATGCGTTGCTCTCTTGTCGTCGTTTTCTTTTCTTCTTATTCTATTCTTCCTCTTGATCTTCCATCCACTCCATGCAAATCTCTCTCCTTGCTGCTATCATCTCCCGCTTCCTTATGCAAATATGTCTCCTTGCTTATTTAGTCGACATTACTATTCTCTGTACTAAAAAATGTATCGTACCTGTGGTTCTACATTCATCTTCTCCTTTCCATTATTTTTTCATTTCTTTATGAGTTTGTACCCTAAATTTTATGTTTTTCCTCTTCTTCATATTTAATTCCGCAGTTTACGTCTTGTCTCGACCAATCTGCAGCTCTATCCCTGGTTTTTTTTATCCTTGTTATAATTTTGTAAATTCATCAAACTTTGCTCACTGCCAAGTATTTTGTGCCATTGCTTTGGTAATATTCGCTCTTAAAATGGAAACTGTTGTTTCTATTTGTTACTTGCTTTACTCACTTTTTATAATGTTTTATGTTTCGTTGGTCCGTAGTGCATTAACCTTCCTTTTTCTTTTTCTTCTCAAAAGCCCATATTCGTTCTTTTGTTTGGACTTGCATTTTGTCTTTGTTATGCCTCTTATTGCAAATACTTGTCAGAATCCACAGGCAGGAATGAGTGAACTAGCAGCATGCAGGAGTACAAGTAGTAAACCCTAATTTGGGTTGTACCCCATATGGGCTACCCCACTACAGCCTAGACAGTATGCAGCACATATGTTTGACACACCCCCATAGGCAAAGTGGGGGAGAACAAGGGGTCACAAGACCAGTCAGGGCAAAGCAAGGCAAAACAGGCTCAGGGTGGATCTCGAGGATTCCACACAAATTCCGAGCACAAGCAAGCGGTCACAAGACCAGTTCACATGCAGGTTTATAACAGAGCAAGAGATACAGTGATCACAACCTAGCAAGAGTAAACATGCAGGTATATATATATATAGAGATCACAGTACAAGCAAAGTCAAGAAGTGAGCAAGTGAGGTCCAGTAGGCACAAGGCCCAAAAGAGTACAAAAGCGCTGATGGTCACAAGGCTGGAGCGCCTTGGTGAACACATCAGCAGTGTTGGCCTCAGTGGCCACGTAACGCAGACAAAGCTGACCACGCTGCTGTAGCTCTCTAGCCAGGAAGTACCGCAGGGCGATGTGCTTCGTTCGGTGCTCCAGTCTGTGCTCCTCACACAAGGCAATGGCAGCCTTGTTGTCGACGTACAGCACTGGAGGAGAACGAGGCCTCTCTCCCAAGTCGGTCAGCAGGTAGGTCAGCCAGCGAAGCTCCTGGGCCGCCATGGCTGTGGCGTAGATCTCAGCCTCACAACTGGAGCTGAGAACAGACGAAGAGCGTGTGGAACGCCAAGAAACTGAGCCAGAGCCAAGGCTGAATGTGTAACCCTGAGACGACCGCTGAGTAGCCTGGTCGTCCGCCCAAGAAGCGTCTGAGTGTCCAGTGAGCACAACTCGGTCTCGCCCTCCAAGCACTAGCCCCATGCCCGACGTACTGCACAAGTAGCGCAACACCCTCTTAGCGGCATCCATGTGCTCCTTCCTGTGACGGCCAGGAGCGACATAGCGTGCAAGGATGCTAAGAGGGTATGCAAGGTCAGGTCGAGTGCAGGTCATCAGGTACATGAGGCAGCCCACGAGCTCTGGATACGGGCCACTCGGCTCTACGGACTCATCCGAAGGCAGAGCTGAGAGCGAGTGACCGGTAGGCAGAGGAGTGGACTGAGGCGAGGAGTACGTGAAGCGGAAGCGCTGGAGAACCTGCTGCACCATGTGTGACTGAGTCAGGGTGATGGTGCGCCGTGCTCTGTCCCGGGTGATCCGCAAGCCAAGATAGCTTGTCAGCTCACCCAGGTCTGTGTACGTGTGTCTCCTCTGCAGCTCCGACTTCACGTAGGCGAGTCCTGCAGTGTCAGCAGTGGCAAAGACCTGGGAAGGGACCTGGGAAGACCAGACACAAGGCAGCGACGGTGCATGCCACGGAGGCGTGGCAAGGAGGGGTGACCCAGGCGGTGGTGCCAGAGAAGAGTCTGGTGCGACAGGGAACGACACTCACAGGCGTGGGCCACCAGACCTGACGCGGACACCTGACCGACAGCAGCGACCTGAGGAGACGCAGTGGTCAGTGTGTAGAGACTCGACCCCGGCCGACGAGTAAACGTAGCCAGGTGACGGCCGGTCCTGGAGCACGTGCAGATCGCCACACGCTGTCCTCCAGGGGTAAAGGTGTCAACCCACTGATCCTGGAGGACAGCGTTGCTCACCAGGTTCGTCGAGAACGAGGGGAGGTGGAAACCCGTCAACGAGCCAGACGGAACCGCCGGACAAGGGAGCACAGTAGTGGACTGGGCAAGGACTGGGCCCCCAGAGGGGTCAGCCAAGGAGACTGGGACCGGTGCAGGAAGCGGTGTGAGCTCAGTACTGTCTCGAAAGAAGCAGCGGGAAGCACCTGAGTCAAGGGTGAAGGTGTGACAGGTCTCAGTCGGTGCAGTACCTGAGAGAGCAGTCTCTGTGGGTGCTGTACCTGAGAGAGCAGACTCGCAAGCAGCAGGGACAGTGCAGGAGGGAGCAGGTACAGGGGGCACCATACCAGAGAGAGCAGACTCACTAGTACCTAGGGCAGCGGGCCCTATACCTGGGTCAGGCGGCACACACAAGTAACAGTCTCCCTCGGCACTAACAGTCAATGCATACATGGCAGCAATAATAGCATCATAGTCAAGAGCAAAGATATCAACACCAGCCCTCATCAGCTCAGCCCAGCGAGGGCGCTCAACATCCTCGCCCATCTCCTCACGCCAAGCGTCGTCAAGGCGGAAGAAGCAGCGGTACTGAGTGTGGAACTTTCCACACGTCTGCCCCTTGCGATCACCTGTGCGAATGACATAAGAACAGCGGCCACTGCCCCCCGACGTCCCACGCTGAGCAAGCCACTCACGAAGCTGCTGGGTCGACTGGGGACGCTGCTGCTGCTGGGAGCTCTGGCCCGAGCCGGTGCCTCCACTCCGACCTCCACCGCCGCCACTACCTCCGCTCCGACCGCCACCACCGCCACCGCCACCGCCACTACCGCCACCGCCGCCACTGCCGCCGCTGCCACCACCGCCACTGCTCCCGCCGCCGCCCCCGCCTCCGCCGCCGGCCCCACTCCCACCGGCACTCCCGCCACCGCTCCCTCCAGCACCGCCTCCCCCCCCACCTCCCCCACCCCCTCCCCCCCCAGCGCCACCCCCGCCACCCTTGCCCCCCTTGCCCTTGCCGGTGCGGCGCCTCCCACCAGGAGCAGAAGCAGCGCCAGCAGACTCAGCACCAAGGAAGTCAACAGCAGCAGCAGTAGCATAGGAGGGAGCGAGGGGAGAGGGAGAGCACCCCTCAAAGATGGGGGTGCGAGGAGCGCCGCGAGCAGCACCAACAGCTACAATGCTCTTCTCGGCTGCTAGCAGCTTCTCCTCTAGGAGGGCGACAGTGAGCTCAGTGGGACAGCGAGCAAGGAAATAGTCGCGCACTGAGCTGAGGGTGTCAGGGAGACGGGTGACTATGAAGTGGAGTGCCCAGTACAGGGGAGGGGGGTTCTTAGCGCAGAACTCGGTGGGAAGGGCGGCACGCAGGCGAGCATCACTAGTGCGAAGGTGGGTGATAAGATCGGCGACTGTAGCAAAGGTGGACAGGTCAGGGAACAGGTAAGGCAGCATGAGACGGCTAAGCTCGGCTGTGGCAGGTGAGGAGTAGCGAGCAACGACAGCGTCGTATAGGGCCTTAGCGGTTTTGCAGTCGCCAAAGTGCTCTAGCTCAGGTAACGGCAGGTGACTGCGAATAGCCAGGCGAGCTGCAGCGTCACGAGTCTGCCACTGTGAACGTACACTAAGCTCGGCTGTGGCAGCAGGAGCAGCGGCAGCACCAGACGCGTAGTCATAGAGGGAGATGTGGTCCGTGCTATTGCTCATAAGATACAACTGCAAGTCGTCGAGCCAGGAATTAAACTGCACGGGACGGCCCTCAGCATCGAAGGAAAGAACGCGAATAGAGGCCATAGCTCAGGCGTGAGGGCACAGCAGAGCAGCGGCAGCAGCAGAGGGGACGCGCTAGAGCGAGGCTAGCAGCCACAGCAGGAGCAAGCGGCGGTGCACAGGCGGGAAGTGCGGCGGGCGGGCTGCGAAGCGGGCAGCGGGGCGGGCGGGCGACGCGGCGAGCGGGCAGCGCGGCGGGCGGCTGCGAAGCGGGCAGCGGGCGGGCGGGCGACGCTGCAAGCGGGCAGCGAGGCGAGAGGGCGACGCTACGAGCGGGCAGCGAGGCGGGCGGGCGACGCTGCGAGCGGGCAGCGAGCGAGCGGGCGACGCTGCGAAGCGGGCAGCGGGCGGGCGGGCGACGCTGCGAGCGGGCAGCAAGCGGGCGGGCGACGCTGCGAAGCAGGTAGCGGGCGGGCGGGCGGCGCTGCGAGCGGGCAGCGAAGCGGGCGGGCCGCGAAGCGGGCAGCGAGCGGGCGGGCGGGCTGCGAAGCGGGCAGCGAGCGAGCGGGCTGCGAAGCGGGCAGCGGGGCGAGCGGGCGACGCTGCGAGCAGGCAGCGCGGCGGACGGGGGGCGAGCGGGCGGGCGACGCAGCGAGCGGGCGGCTCGGCGGGCGGGCGACGCTGCAAGGGGCGCGCGAGGGCGCTAGCGAGGGGCGCGCGAGGGCGCTAGCAAGGGGCGCGCGAGGGCGCTAACGAGGGGCGCACGAGGGCGCTAACGAGGGGCGCTAACGAGGGCGCTAACGAGGGGCGCGCGAGGGCGCTAACGAGGGGCGCGCGAGGGCGCTAACGAGGGCGCACGAGGGCGCTACGAGGCTAGGGCACGGGGTAGCGTGGTAACCGCATGCGAGCGGTGGTGGGCCCTTAAAAAAAAAAACGGTCGGTAGGTCCTAGGGACCTCCTGCTCTGATACCATCTCAGAATAACGAGGCAAGAATGGAACAACTAGCAGAAGTTTGGGTACAAATATGAAACCCTAGTTGGGGTTGTACCCCATATTGGCTACCCCACTACAGCCTACAAGCATAATACAGTTTAACAACACACACCCGCATTTTTCGCCAGGACCCTTTGTGGCTCGATTCCCGGAATACTCAACCACCAAGCACACCTCACCACTCTTGTGTCTCTTGCGCACCCTCAGCAGGCGGAGGTTCAGTACTGAACCAAGAAAGGAGGTGTTGGGTGTGGTGCTGGCCGGTAAAGTGTTGTCATTTCCGCTAGATTGCTTCATTTCGGGCTGATTCTGATGGTTCGGTTCAGATTTCTAGGGGATTTGTAGAGTTGGTGGGCTAGGGGGTGTAGTGTCAGTTCAATGTTCTGGAGCGCTCCGCGCGCCAATAATAAATTGAACATGCGACTCGGTGCAAATTTTTCTCTAAATTCGCACGCCAATCATGTGTCGGAACTGTGCTTCTGGCCGTTTGCATTTCGAACCGACAAAGGTTCATAATGTGAACCGTTGAGTGGAGGGAAAAATGACGCGACGGTTCGAACTGTTCGTGACGTCGCAAACTCATTCGCGAAACCCGTACGAAATGTAACGAAATCTGTAACGTTTTCGCAATCCGGACGGTCCACGGTTCGAACTGTCGGGAGCAAAAAAGAGACACACCATAAATGTACGTGCGAATGATGTTGTCTGTTTTGATCATTTGCTCCTTCATCTCCTTAAGTGAAAGAGCATGGTCTATCAAAATCACAACAAATCCTCCAAATCCAAGATTATACTCCACTAAAAGGTGGGCAAGCGAGATAAGTCTCTCTTCTTAGCTTGAAGTTGTAATTGTAGATCTTGTAAATCATGAACTCTTCAAGCTTCGAGAACTTGAGTGTTCTCTTAAAGAGAAACCACAACTCCAAAATCTATAAAAAAATTCTTTAGGGACAAAATTCCCTCTAGGCTTAGGATAACCCTAGCTCTAGATACCAATGTAACAACCACGGCCCTTATAACAACGGGCAACTGTGTGCTTTTATTTATTCAAAAGGCTTCCAAGATTAAACTAATCCCAACAAGGGATATTGTAGCCTTGAAGTAGTAATAAGGAGCTCGAGAGGAGAACTTGATATGGTTGTTGATAAAGCTTGAGTATGTAGGTAGCTTTTTGTAGAGGTTGTACTTGAAGTAACACCACTCTAGTTGTGTAGGAGAGCTTGTTAGGAAAGTCAAAATTTCTTAGAGAAATCCCATTTCCAAATTCGTAAGTTGGAGTCTATAGTGCATCTTTTTTTGGTTGGGAAAACTCAACTAATGTGATTGTCAGAATATTATGCTCTAGCCTGTAGTGGGGTGCTCTGTAGCGAGTACAACCCTTCTAGGGTTTGCTATTTGTATCCCCATTCTTGCTAGTGCAACCCCCCTCTTTCGCCTAAACTCTCTTGCCTAGCTAGGACTCTCCTAGCTATGGCTCCTAAGACTACCGCTTATCTCAACATGGTATCAGAGCTTAACGTTCCTGGCCTGTGGGCCCACTTCACTGCTTCCGCTGCTACTGCTACTCCCTGTCCGCCGCGCGCCCCGTGGTGCGCGGCGTCGAAACTAGGGTTTTCAGCCCGCCGTGCGCCCCGAGGCGCGCGGCGGTTTTCTGCCCGCCGTGCGCCCCGAGGCGCGCGGCGGTTCTCTGCCCGCCGTGTGCCCCGAGGCGCGCGACGGGTTCCTGCCCCGTCACTCGGCACGTCGCCCCCGGGAGGCGCTGCGACGGGCGACGGGGACCCGCGCGTCGCCCCCCGTCGCCCGTCGTGGCCTGCGCGCGGCCCGTACACCCGGCGCGCGGCCCGTACACCCGGCGCGCGGCCCGTACGGGCTGCGCCAGGCCTGCGCGCGGCCCGTACGGGCTGCGCCAGGCCCGCGCGCGGCCCGTACGGGCTGCGCCAGGCCCGCGCGCGGCCCGTACGGGCTGCGCCAGGCACGCGCGCGGCCCGTACGGGCTGCGCCAGTCCCGCGCGCGGCTCGGACCGCCTGCGCGCGGTTCGGGAGGCTGTGCCAGGCCCGTGGGCGCCCCGTTCTTCGCTGCCCCTGTCCTCCCCGCTGTCCCCCGTGCTTCTGAAGGCGCCCCACCCCTCCTTCTGCCCGTTCTCCTGGATTAGGGTTTGGGGTTGGGGGGTATGGGGGTGCAGCTTCTGTGTGCCGTTCCCTGCTCCTCCTCCTCCTCCGTCTCCCTGTGCTGCAGCTGCCGCTGAGGGGGGTGGACCTGTTGGAGCCGTCGGAGTGGTACTAAGGGGGGGTGAAGGGGGAGTGGAGCTAGCGGTGTAGCAGCGGGTGTGTGTCGAGGGATGTGGGACTGTTGGGGGAGGTTGAGGGGAGGTTGCCGTCGTGTCGTACGCAGCGCCTGTACTCCGGGGCACTCACTCCCGGTAGCTCAGAGAGCCGGTTGCGCCGTCGCCTGTGGGTCCGTTGCTCCTGCTGCTCGTCTTAGCCGCGGAGCCTGTTACTCCTGTACTCCGGGGCACTCACTCCCGGTAGCCACTGTGTCGCACCAGAGCCGTCTGTTGCCCGTGTGACTGCAGCTTCAGTCGTCGCCTCCCATCTACTCTCCTCTCGCCAGCCCTCCTCCTCCTCACTTCCCTGTTGTGACTACCACTAGCTTTGCTCATAATTGTGAACTTTAAACTATTGCTTCTTAAACTTGTGCTCAGAATGTGTGGTGACATTGTGATCCACCCTGAGCTTGTACTGCTTTGCTTGCTCTGCTGATTACACCCCACTTTGGCTATGGGGGTGTGTCAGAATATTATGCTCTAGCCTGTAGTGGGGTGCTCTGTAGCGAGTACAACCCTTCTAGGGTTTGCTATTTGTATCCCCATTCTTGCTAGTGCAACCCCCCTCTTTCGCCTAAACTCTCTTGCCTAGCTAGGACTCTCCTAGCTATGGCTCCTAAGACTACCGCTTATCTCAACAGTGATTTGTATGGTTGCTTTATTGTTTGGTTGGATTGTAACAACAACTTGCACAATGTGATTGGTTGGAAATCCAATCTTTTCAATCTTCACTTAAATGGGTTGGAAGTTTCCAAGGCTCAAGCTTGAGGGTTGGAAATTCCCAACCAACATTTCATATTCCAAACCTCCTCAACCGAATCTCTCGTCATTCAACCTTTCGTCGAGAAATGTCTTGACTTAGAACTATGTGGACTCAGGGCAAGTTAGGTGTGTGAGGTAGGTATGCGTTACAGGTGACTGTCAACTCGACTTCTACTAACCCCGCAAGCCTCCTCGGTGCAGCCGCACATATCAGGTCGCGCATTGCTAAGACGTGGGTCGCGTCGAAGTCCACCGCATAGCCGTGCCCCCTGTGCCTCTAATCGCCATGCGGCGTCAAGGCGTCTGCATGGAGTAGAGGGGATTACAGAGTAGAGGAGGAACTACGCAACCGACAATGCACAAAGTATGATGGTTACCACCAGTGCAGCGGGCAAGGGATGTGATGCAACTGTAATACTAAGTAATGACCTCATGTATCGTTTCAAGGTGCTTGTAGCGAATGCGAGTGCACGTGTGTCGCCCATGATGATCATTGCGGCACGGGTAAATACGCTACCAGTCTCACTCCACCTCGTGCGTCCTCGTCTTTCCGACTCTGATCGCATACAAGAAGGTAATGGACAAGCTAATCTCAGTGTAAACAAGTGGTTCAACCTGTTAGAGGTGCTTCGTGGAACCACACTACGCGACGGCTAAATTCGGACATATGGCGAGAAAAGCAGACCGACAGCAGCATTAAGGTGGTGGCGTGTGGAAAACGTTTTGCGAATGAGCTAAGAAGGCTGTAAGGAGCTTGGCGTGTGTGCTAAGTTATGGGCTATGAGAATTGAAGATGGGAAGAAACGTGAGGAAGAGTGGTGAAGAAATGACTAGGGGAAAAGAATGGTTTGACGAGGAAAAAAATTGGGGTTGAAATAATAGCGTGGTTCACAAGTTTATGATTTTCCGACTTGGGGTGTGTACAAGGGAGAAGCGTCGGTTGCGTGTACGACTCGATGTGACACTTGGCGTGCGGGACAAGTTATGTTACCAAGAGAGTTTGC